AATCANGTCAATAACAGTAACATACGACAATGACATTAAACAATAGCATCGAACAGTGACAGAAATTTTACTATCCAAATCCCAGGCTTTAATTTTGCTTTTTAGAAAATAACTTGGTTAATTATAATCTGTGAATGATTCATTTAGCTATTAATAAATTTTCTTTCTGAAAAGTTTGTATCTGCGCTCTTCACGAATTTTTTTTATTTGCTATTAGTATAACCTTTACATGCATTATACTAGAACCTAAAGGCACTTCATTTTTTCATACAACTGGAGTGTAAATTCCATTTAAATCTCTAGACACGTGTTTATTTTCGAATGATTTTCATTTGAATCGTCACCTCACCGGTTCAAAGCACTCCATTATCTGAATTGGTATGGCATCGTCTTTATCTTTGTCTTAAACTTCGATCTCTGATCTCCAGTCAAACTCCAAATTCTACTGATCACTGGAATCTAAGCGAACAAGGCGAATAGAAACTAAAAACTCGAGTTGAAGACAAATTTGATTCTCAGTTACAGGAGCTAGAATTTGAATTGTCTCGAGAACCCAAAATCCCAAACAAAGTACAACCCAAACTTAAATAAGATTGAAATGTTTAGGCCAGGCCAAACCNTGGTATAAGAGTTCACTGGTGTGCAACTCGGATGGGTTTGCGGGTGAAAAGATCAAAAGAAATTTAAATGCCGGTATAGGACTTTTTTTATCCGAAAGTCCAACAAGTGTTATTTTAGGTCTTAAGGACAATTGAGATCGTAAATACTAATTTATCCTTAATGTCATAATTTTACAGTAACATAAAACAATCAATAACAGTAACATACGACAATGACATTAAACAATAGCATCGAACAGTGACAGAAATTTTACTATCCAAATCCCAGGCTTTAATTTTGCTTTTTAGAAAATAACTTGGTTAATTATAATCTGTGAATGATTCATTTAGCTATTAATAAATTTTCTTTCTGAAAAGTTTGTATCTGCGCTCTTCACGAATTTTTTTTATTTGCTATTAGTATAACCTTTACATGCATTATACTAGAACCTAAAGGCACTTCATTTTTTCATACAACTGGAGTGTAAATTCCATTTAAATCTCTAGACACGTGTTTNTGGACTTAAAAATTAGATTTAAAAAATATATTTGATAATCACAACCATTGAATAGATAGTATGTCTCAATAAATATTGGGATCTATAATAAAATTAATGATTATGATTATCAAATTTAATTTTTAAATTTATTTTTTAAGTTCATGTAGCATTGTTAAAAAAAATTAGGTAAATTCACTCAAATATCCTGCACCGTTAAACTAAAAAACAATTGATAAGAAAGCTAAAAGGTAAATTGGAGAGAGAGAACTGCCCATAAAAAAAAAAAAAAAAAANCCCAAAATCCCAAACAAAGTACAACCCAAACTTAAATAAGATTGAAATGTTTAGGCCAGGCCAAACCCCAGTACTAAAAATACGTGAAAATACTAAATATTTGGGGTTTTGGGCTTAGACTAGATCCAAGTTGACGCACTCAGGTCGCACCCATAAGGCTTAGATACGGTCAGGCACTGGTGAAACTTCTTGGTCCCAATCCCTATCTCAAATATTTTCAGAGGCATGAGTCCCCATGAGTAGTGATGATGATGATAAATTATAAAGCAGAAGACTAAATACATGAACATATTCAAATAGGACCCACCAACCACCATCAACCACCACTATAAACAAGTGGTCATACCCCCCTCTCTCTCTCTCTCTCTCTCTCTCTCTCCATACACACAAAAACACACTTTCTTCTTGACAGAGGTGTGAAGCTCATGGTTGTGACATTTTACAGATTGGGTTTGGCTGGTTGACGTGCTTTTTATTGACAGCTCTATCCTTCCTAAATGGCTTGCTATTGAATGACCTAGTTTCAGTAGTTTTGCTGTCCAAACATCTAGCAAAGGAACGTCTCCGCCGGCCTAAGAATGAAAAATAAAACAACAATCCAATTTAANCTGCTCTATCCTTCCTAAATGGCTTGCTATTGAATGACCTAGTTTCAGTAGTTTTGCTGTCCAAACATCTACCAAAGGAACGTCTCCGCCGGCCTAAGAATGAAAAATAAAACAACAATCCAATTTAAATACATGTTTGGCAATGCTTCCCTTTTTCATTGCTAATATTATCTAGGAGCTTGTTAAAAAAACACAATTTTTAGATGAGTTAAATGGACATTGAACTCCAAACCTTACCCAACTTTATGATTATAAAATAGAGTTAATTGCACTGGAGGTCTCTAAAGTATGAAATTTATCTTATTTTGATCTTCAATGTTTCAATTGCATCATTTTGATGCCTGAAGTATTAAATATATTTCTATATGATCCCATAAGCAAATAATATCTAAATTGTTAACGATTTTTTATCATAAATTTATCACATGATACTTAAATATGGATAAAAAAATAATTTAGATAACTCTTAACCAAATTTCTACTTAAATATTGGTTAAATAGTTACCTAAATGCACAGTTTTAATCGTGAGCTATTCAAATTTTAGTCAAAAGCTATTCATATTACACATTTTTTTGTCAAGAGTTACTCAAATTTTGTTTAAGAACTATTAAAATTATTTTTTGTCCATATTTAGGCATTGTGTGAAAACTTATGATAAAAAATCGTTACCAATTTGGACGTTGTCTGCTTGAAAGAATATATAGAAACATTTAATTCTTCAACGATCAAAATGATGCAATTGAACTATTGGAAACTAAAATGAAACAAATCTCATACTTTGGGAACCACCAATGCAAATTAACCCTATAAAATAATTTCTGGATATAACAAAAAAGAANACCAATGCAATTAACCCTATAAAATAATTTCTGGATATAACAAAAAAGAATCACCCAAATACACNAACAAATCTCATACTTTGGGAACCACCAATGCAAATTAACCCTATAAAATAATTTCTGGATATAACAAAAAAGAATCACCCAAATACACCAAGCTCCAACCACTACACAATATGAAGAGCATTAACCTTACTCCCCATGCATAGATGTTATTTTCCTACCAAACTCGTGGCATTCAGTTTATAATGAAACAATTTTACAACTACGCTGAGACCCGGGCCTTAATTTTTATATGTAATATTACGTATAAGAGTCAAAATTATTTCTCCACGAGCTGGTATTAGAAATTCACCATTGAAACCAATGAAATTAGCACTATATTTCAGCTTCCCGTAGGATGATGCATTTAGTTCAAGCAAAAGCCACATATGATGCCATAAGAACCAAATTCAAATTTGCAATGAAACACGACATGGAAACAAACTTCTACCATATACTTATGCTGAACTAAGGTGCCTTAAAACAAGGATTTTTCTACGATACCATATCAGATGTTACGATCAGGGCCGGCCCAAGGCTTAGGCCACTTAGTTGGCGGCGAAGGGCCCCCATTTTTAACAAAATTTTGGGGTCCTCTATTAAGAGTTTTAATTACGAGTGCATGTATTTTGGATGGGCTAATTTGAGAGGACTAAAATTTTATTGATAGGTCCATTAACACTTCAACAATTTACCTAAAAAAAATTTCTACTTGCCAGCTATAGTAGACTACTAGACTTTTAAAACAAGAAAAGTAGACGACTAGAGGTATTTCTCTCTCTCTCATTTATGAAGGAATTAGGCAAACCTCTCTACATCACTCTATATCTCTCGCACAAATTTATCAACTGCTATTATTACGAAATTCACTCACAAATCACAGTATTTGTTTAACGCCACTCCCTCGTGCCCTCTCTCTGTGAAATGTGAAGCCTGAATCTGAATAAAAAAAGAACACCAAAACTCTCTATTCTCTTATAATTCAAAAATTCATCAATTAATTGATAACAATCAAGATTCAAGGGTAAGAATTTTTTGGGCTCAATCTGTTATAATAAACTGGTTTGTTCAATTGTTCTCTCATTTTTTATTAGAAATTTTTAAAAGTTTGGTGTTCTTAGAATTTGTAATAAGTTGATTTCATATTTTTGATATTATTGTTGATTTATCCTTTTCTAACAAAAACTTAAATGCTTTAATCTTGAAAGTTGATTGTTGAAGACCTAATTTATATAAAACGATTAGATTCTTTTCAAAATGCATTTAGAATATCGCGGTAACAATTACTTCAACAGAGAAAAATTTTTCAAAATTTAAATTAACAAAATCTTATCTTCGATCAACTATGTCACAAAAAAGATTAAATAGATTAACTATAATATCTATTGAAAAAGCTATATAACAAAACTTTAATATAAAATTTTAATCAATATTTTTGCATTTCAAAAAGCTAGAAAAATAGNATTTTAATCAATATTTTTGCATTTCAAAAAGCTAGAAAAATAGCTTTTAAAAGAATATATTTTAATAATTGTTACCTATTAATTGGGCCCTGCTTCATATTCTCGCCTAGGACTTCCGGATTTGTTAGGCCAACCCCAGTTACAATCCAATCAAATCAAGTTACTTGGGATTGATCGTAAGATTTTAGGTTATATCCCAAATTTTCGAACTTTATTGAATGGTAACTTTTCTCGGTACCAAAAACTTTAATCTGGAACCAAAATCTGCTATGTCCAACATGACATGTCATTACCAAAAGCATCATATTACATAAAGGAACAATCCCAAACATGATACTTTCCTTCCTATGATCGAAGATACAACCAACAAGTGCAAATCAAGTACATAAATTATAGCCTTGGTCATACAATCCTTCGAATTTTCTCATCTAAAGTTGTAAGGAATATGTAGTCGTAAGGGTTAAAAATAGAGGAAAGGTTGATACACCATACCGTTGTCCAAGGCGGAGTTTATTGCCCAAGAAATTCAATTGACCACAGACCTGTTCAAAAATGGCCTCAGCTTCAGCCGTCCAACTTGAGGTGTCAGCTCCTCTCACGCCACACATTTCATAATTAAGGCCCCCCCTCCATTTCAGCATCCTATTCCCTGCATTAACTAGAGCTCGGCCACAATGAGCTAAGTCTCGCTGCAAGTTTCGCACTCTTGAAGTCCTCTCTAAGCTGAATAAACCTGCATTTGCAGCCAACTTAAAAGTTCATATCATAAAGGGGATCTAGGTAGAGAAAAAAGAATAACATAGACATTGAAGGCATTCTGTCTTCCTTCCTCTAAAACACATCATTGACAAATGTAAATTTACATATAAATATGCCATAGTAAGGTATGCTTCCTACCGGATAAATTATGAGGAACATGCTTCACAAACTTGTAAAGATCACAGGGACTTCTCTTCAAAGAGAAACAAGGGTCTCTTTGGATATGTTTTAAAAAAAACAGTATTCAAAAACAAGGTCAGATCTAAGGAGAAAGTCAACCTCAAGAAAATATATAAAATCAATCGATGAGAAAACATAAAGCACATGGAACGAGCATTCTTCAGGAACTTGTTAGAAGTCAATTGTCAACTTGTGCCACTTGAAGGGCTAGAACTTCAAACGAGATCAGAAGGTTTGAAGGAATTGATCAGGGCTTATTTTGGAAGCGAAGAGAAAGACACGGATGAGAAAGAAAAAAAACCCTTTTAATTGATGCCTTTTAATTGTACAGTAGATTACATCCCGTATTTTCAATTTTTCTGAAACTGTCTCAAAACTAGCGAAAACACGTTATTAGTGTTTTCTGAAATTCTGTCTTTTTTTTTTTCCCAGTTTTAGAATACTAGATACAAAACTCTGCTTTCCAAACAAGTTCTCTTATGTTTTTTGTATCTAAAAATAGGAAAACTATTTTAAAGATGCAAACCAAACAGGGCCTTATGTTGCGCACTACTTTTGATGGGTAATTGATTTGTTATGTTTCATAAGGTTTTCTAAAACATGATTATATGTTTCGGTACATTCAATAGATGTTGCCTTGTTGACAATTACCTTTGTGCATCTTTCCGAATGCTAGGGGTACCTTCGAACAGAGTGGACAGGCTTTCAGGAGCAACGATAAAAACATTTGCCATGCTGGAGATAAAAGTTATGTCAATAATCAAGCAACAAACCTGATAAATCAAAGGCTCAAAATCAGGCAGAACCCTACAACTTACATGCCCAACAATTCAAATTTCTCATCGACAGAAGGAGCATTGAAACTGCGCACGAATTCCCCATACTCAGTTATGTCACGCTTCAGCCGCAACCCTCCACTACAAATGCAAACAAAACAGAAAGTGAAGAAGTTGCACAAGAGCAGCAGATAAAAAGAATTTATCGGTGCACATTCCGGCTTGTATACTGTAAGATACATTATTACATTTGTTTGGAAGGATGAGCACATTCACAAAGGCCTATTAGTTGCTGCACAGTGAATGATTTTCCGAGAAAGGGTCAATTGTAAAGGCCCTCACCCACAAGGTAACGAAGCAACAATAAGCGGGCAGAAATCCAATGACTGCCCTAGAGCAGTATACACGTCAAAATTCTAAAATTTGTCATAAATTGAGCAACAATAGATGGCCCTAGTAAACTTTCATACCCCGTGAGTTCCATCAAGGAAACCTATTTGTCGTAACCAAAGTGCAGACGATGTCCATGGTAGATATCCTATGCACATAAGAAACCAATTTTTGGAACTAAGACAAACTACTCTAGTAGCTATATCAACTTCACCATGTCCAATACTAAATAATTTACATGAGCGAAGCATAGATACCCTTGGTCTCGGTCCCTAGCTCTTCCATTGGGAAAAATAGTAATTAACCAGGATAGTTCAAGTCACAACCAGAATACATTGGAAGTACCGGTCATATTGTCACATGGCCTGCAAGTAACACCACCTTGTCTCTAGTAATCAAAGGTGACCAGTGAATCAGAGAACCTGAAGTCCCAAGCTTGGTCTCAGTCCCTAGCTCTTCCATTGGGAAAAATAGCAATTAACCAGGATAGTTCATTTCACAACCAGAATATATTGGAAGTACCAGTCATATTGTCACATGGCCTGCAAGTAACAGCACCTTGTCTCTAAAAATCAAAGGTGACCAGTGAATCAGAGAACCTGAAGTCACCATTTGTTGCATTAACAAGCACGCATTTCATATAAGGTTCATAACAGATGGAATGATATGCCAAGACAGACTGGCCCATGCAGAAGAGAAAGTTAGAGAGTAACAAATTCAAAACAGTGTGCATATATGAACATGATTTTGCAATGATGCAGAATGTCTGTAACAAACCATCAGGGTAACATGATTTTACCATGTTGCAGAAATCAAAGTCTCAACATGATGACCAAAGTGTGACAAGTTAAAGCAAGATGATACCTGGGATTAAAAGTAAACTTCTGCCAATGATTAAGCAGCCCTTTCTGCAAACGGTTCCCCTATATAGAAAAAACTTATGGTGTTATTGAAAGAACATGCATATAACAACAAAAATTGAAAATATTTAGATGATAGAATCACTGATTGAAATTATCCTAAAATGCAACAAAAGGAGTTGGCAGACGTAAGGAGAATGGGATGTCAGGTTGCTCAAACATTCATTGCTGTGCACAAGGGACAACGAAAAGGGCAAAATTCAATGTTCCAGTTTTATATACCCACAGTATAATGGCATAAAGTCTTTTCTCAAACAGTAGAAAATACAACTAAGACAATTCATTCATAAAGCCTACTTTTGGATATCCATATACATCATTATATTAACAAAACACTAAATGCATGCAACAGCTCCTTCACATATAAAATTATGATCAGCAAAATACCATGATGCGCTGCAACACTTGTGGACGGACATGAAAATCAGAGAAATCTAAAGATTAATGCATGCAGCTTATCAGACATTTGCACATCTGTGATCATTACCAGATATGGAAGAAATTAAAAGCACTAAAAGAATTAAAGAAGCAGGCAGACGAGATATATGTACCAATTCAGTCAAGAAGGCTTGTTTGTTAAGACCATCTAGTGCAGTGAATGCAGCCTCAAGCACACGGGAGAGGTATGCCACGACCCTGGCCAGGGGAAGAGAAACATGAGCCCCAGAAAACACATGAAAAATAAGGCACATATCAGCCACTCGTAATCAAAAACAACAATGATGACAAGAAAAAGGGAAAAAGGATGCAAGTTCAAGTGAAAGTATCTAGAAATGAATGCCATAAGGTGGTGCCATGAGACAAAACAATATCATTTTATTCCCATGCAATGAGTATATTTTATACGCTGTGAGAAATACAAAAAAAATACACTCAATACTGATGCAGTTTCCAGAAACATTCTACCGCAATAAATATATCTATTCAGCTAAAGTTTTACAGTGAAGTAGGACAAACCTTGTGCAGGCATTGGTTGGTCGATGATCAGGAGCGATGCCATCATCGGGTGAGCGATAATCAGTTGTTTTTTGTTCAGCCGAGAGCAATCGCTCAACCTAAATGAGAAAAATATTCAAAAACAGAATGAACTGACTAGCAAAAGAACCGAAGAAATGTGCAGGACCCGAGGGCCTTTAAAGATTTAATCGACAAGTTGTCACAGTAAACACCAAAGCAAAATTATAGCCGAAGAATAATTTAAGTTAATTGAGCAAACAAATGCCTTGCTTTGGCACCCATAAACCTCAGTATATACTTCACAACTTGAATTACAGACCTCAGCCATAACCGTTTCAATGCATTGCTGAAGGCCTTTGTAAGCAGCACCCTCTGCACTGGACATAGCTGTTGCCATTTCTTCACATGAAGCGGCGTGAGCACCATCCACAGGTAGTAAAAGCCGGGAAATAGAATTTGCAAAGTACTGCAGAAACATTTCAAATCAATGTAGGATTCAAAGTAAGTATAAGGTCGTTCCTCACAATCGAATTGGCAAAAAAATCTATGATAGCAAAGCTCAACCCGACGTACTTGCTGAACAATGGCCACACTGCTTGCACATCGTTGTACAGCCACCATAAAAGATCTGAAACTGCTTTCACCAGCAGCAGCAGCAGCTTCTGCCTGCTAATCACCAAACCGTCCCTTAATTCAATCAACTAAGGAGTGAACAGATGAAGAATTCGCTACTTAAGAAAGACACTTACACACTTATCTTAGATAAGTCTTTCTGATTTTAGAATGACAAAAAAGGAAGGTATGTGATCAAGGAATTACCGCAGAAGCTGCAGCAGCAGCAACTCTTCGACTAACACTTGTGCCCAGCACAAATCTCTCTCTCAAAGCTGCAGCTTCAGTCAGACTGTCTCTGGATCGTTCAAGCCCATCAGTGATGTATAGACTGACCTGCAGAAATATAAAAAATGAGGAAGGTAAAAATATAAGCACCTAATGTCAATTTCCAATGTCCACTGAACAACTAAAATCCCAGAATGTAGAAAAGAGATCAGCCAACTTACTTGGTCAAGAAGACAGGTGAACACGGCTTTTACATTAGCTGCCAGGGTAGCAGGCTGTATGAAGACAAGTTAAATTACAAGTGAATCCACTAAAATACGTAAACGGTAAAACTAGGTCAATAGCAAAATTATCATAGAAATATGCCCATATCAGTACAAAATTTAGGCAATTTACCTGCAACGAAAACAAAGTGCATCTAGAAATTGCTTCTTCATTCCAACGCACAAACTCGGTCACCACAGTCACAGATATCTGCTGGTGGGAAGATGTTATTGAAGCTCCTTTAGTGCGTCCAATTGTCCCTGTTGACTCAGATGACTGCTGACTTTCAGCACGCAATTCCTCCATCTGCATAGCGAAATCAAAATTACATTCAGGCCAAAACACAGAATCATACCCACACACACACAAAGAACAATGAGATAAACCTTCGCTTTATAGAGTTGTCTTAGAGAGGCCTGCTCATACTCAATATATATGTCTTTGTGTGGAAGAAAGAGAGACTCGGTTAGGCCTGCATTTACAGATCCGTTTTCAGGACATTAAAATTCAAAAGTAAAATGGGACAAATTTCATAAAAATGTGAAAACTCAAACAAAGTACAGTTAACGTTTGCTGCGTTGTGAAAATCTCAAACTGTCCTTCAGCGAAATAATATAAAAATCTCCAGGCACTTAACGGTAAGTCCAATGAACATTTGAGACATTTGTTACACCAAGTTCTACAACCAAAATTAGCTAGATGAAAAAACAATTAGAAGCTTGTTACTTAAATAAGATCCAAAAAATACTGATCAATGAACCAACAGGTCCAGCCATCGGTCTCACATAATTAAAATTAATTTGTACATCTATTTGGTCAAAGCAACCCAGCCAGTACCGTAAATTTCAAACAAGCATACACTTTACAAGAAAGGGAAGTTTAGTTCTTATCTTTGTTTGCTATTTCAAGTAACGAGCATTTATTTATGGGTTCTAGTGCATAAGTCCGCGGTACTCAGAAAGATATCATTTTTTTCACTTGGGTCCTCCAAAAAAGACATAATAAAAACAATTATTTTTTTGATTATGAGGATAAAAAAGGTCGCTAAATAACAATTTTCTAAACATAGTTATTAGTATCGTACGACACGCGATATGTATCATACGATACGTCACGATACACCAAAAAAACGATATGTATCGTGTTTCTGTATCATTTTTGCACTGTATCGTACGATACATGATGATTCTATTTTTTTATTTTTTATTTTTTTATTTTTTGGGCTAAAACGACATCGTTTGTCCNTACGATACGTACGATACATGATGATTCTATTTTTTTATTTTTTATTTTTTTATTTTTTGGGCTAAAACGACATCGTTTGTCCTAGAATTTATTTTTTAATCACTATCCAATGAAACAACCTCGTTTTAGTGGTTATGGTTTAAAAAAAAAGTCTGTTGTTAATGTTATTCAATTCAACCAGTTAAAGTTAGAAATTTAAATTAGAAGTTTTTGCATTTTGATATAACTGAACTATGTTGAAAACTTGAATAGTTGGTGGAATATTAATAAAATACTATGTTATTATGAGTTTATTACTTTTTTACAAAGGTATATATACATATATATATATATATATATATATATATATATTTATTTACAAATTAAAATTGCGCATATATTACGATACACGATAAAATACACTATTTTTAAAAAATATACGTCTTCCGATACGCAATTTGATAACTAGGTTTTCTAAGGTATTTTTGCATCTTCCAATACTATTCAACAATGTTAAACATTCAACCCAAAACTAATTAACAATGGGTGGAGTGAACCCTAAAATATATAAACCAACCTTAGTGTTTCTAATTATTTGATATGGAATACAAGCTCTATTAACACCTTCCCTCACGTGGGACTCGGGTTCGCATGTGGGGTCAAACAAACAAACAAATAACTAACCATGCATTTCAAGATTCAAATGGACAAAAAACTTGGCCAATTGACCACCCAAGGGCTAGCTTTGATACCATAATAGAGCATTCAACCCAAAACCAATTGGTAATGGGTGGAGTAGCCCCTCAAGTATATAAACCAACCTTGGCAGTCCTAATTATTTGATGTGGGATACAAGCTCTCTTAACAAACGTCATAACCAACCTTCAACCATTTCTAATTCTTCAACCACCCTTATTCAGTTTTCAAACTCTAATCCTTCAATCATAGATCTCTAACTCTAATGACCCCACGTTGCAACTTAACACCTTAATTCTTCTTGAAGCCCCCCAAAAAAATTAGCAAGTTTTTCTTTCTAATTTCAAATCAGCTTAACCGAAAAATTAGCCAGAATTCATTGGTTGAGAGTTGTGAGGAAATTGTTGCTTCCACGGATTTGCTCTCACAAGGTCATATTCACATAAAAGAGGACGATTCAAGGGTTTGGTGGGTTGTCTTTCAATGGAAATTTGAGGTGAAATTTTTGTACTTCTATTTGATCTACTATTATATTAAACATGTTATCTTTACAATAACTATAATTTCTTACGATATTCATTTAATTTTTTTATTTTTATTTTTAATTATACGACCAGTTCGACCAATTGCCTCAACGATTGAACCAGTGATCCATTGACCCGTTCCCTCGGCCGGGTTGATGTCTAGTCCGATTCTGATAACTATGCCTCATAGGGTCATGAAAGAGATATTTCATGCATCACATTCCTCCATAATGGTGTTTGTTTTACTATCCTTGTCCATGTATATCACTTAGGATTCTAGCAAATTAAACTGAAAAAAGCAGCCATTCATTCCTCATTCTACTTTACCACCAGAAGAATTGTACCCTTATACCAATGAAGGATCTACCATCAAATAAAAGGTCCAGACAATTTATGCAAAATGAATCTGGTAATAACTAACTTGCATTAATACATACCTTCAACATCCAAGTCACCACACCCCACACCACGTAGGTCTCGAGAAAGTTCTTGTGTCTTCTCATATGCCACTGCTAGCATTCTAAGGTACTGAAACCTCAGGCAAATACAATGGAATTAAAATCTAACTTTTACATTATCTTAACATCAGGGTTGATAAAAAATTGCAGTTATAGTAATTTAACCCACCAAGAGAAGTCCGCCTTCTTCCATAGGTGGTGGATTCACAAGAGATGGTTTCACCAACAGCTTCTCGAGGAGTTTTGGAATTCTATCCTCCAAAATTCGCTGCATTCACACAGCAAATTGGTCACAACCGTGAGATTACCAATCAATACCATCCTTGTATCCACGTCATGGAATGAACTGAAACCAAAACCAGGAGGGGGAGCAAAAAGAAAGGTCTTCAGGCTGAATACCTGAACTAAAATCGACATTACATCATTTGGAGAAGGAAAAACAGCAGTTATAGTGGCTGCTTCTTTTCGCACTGTGTCTGCGAGACAATATAACCATTAAATCAAGATCAATGAAGAGACAACACCTTTCAACAGATAATGGTAGTTCTTCAAACCAGTAATTTCTTTGTACAACGAAGCAAGTCCACGTGCAACATTGCTAGGACTAGGTTGGGAACCCTGGTCACCAAGAACTAATCTTGTGTCTGCAATCATGATCTCCGGGTCAAACATTGGACGTAATCCAACATAATGTTGCATAGCACTGGTACCCCTGTTGAACTGTATTGCAAACCAATCTGATAAGAAGAAAGGAAAAAAATTCTGCAAAGATATCGCGGATCTTCAAAAACTTAACAAGTCCCATCATATAACTAAAGCAGCAAATTCAAAAGACAATCTATAGTCACAATGAATCAATAGAAAATCCTACTAAAAGAGACACACACGCAGAATCTTTTAAAAAACTACAGAACCCCCTTATATGAATGTATTTATATATTTATTAGTGAAGGTTGAAAAAGAAAGAAAAGTCTACAGCAAGCACTTTTTATGGTCACCAAGATAGTATCAGTGTTCATGAAAACATTGAAGTTTTTACTTATTACAAACTACAGAAGAAACATATCCAAGTTTCCTCACATGCAAATCAACAAAATAAAGCATGACAACTAAATGAATGGCAGAAACCACAAGAAGATTAGGAAAAAAAGTGAACGTGACAAAGTTGAATTGTCATATTTAAGCTAAAAACACACAAAAATATACTTTCAAATATTTGTATTTTCACAGTTGGAGTCATGAATTAGTCAATTACTTCAACACACAAAAAAGGATAAATGAACTCCAACAAATGACTGCTAAACATGCCAATCTGTTTGCCACCACCACGTGACCACAATACAAAAAGCATTACCAAAGTGTCTATGAAAAGCATTCAATCAGTATCCTAATTAATGCATAGCCTAGCATGGCCAGGAAACAAAAGTCTTTACTTTTTATTCTTCACCTTCATATATTCTTCAAATGGAAATACTAAAAGTGCCTCTTTTGTGGTTGCTCAGTGTTGCGTGGGTTATGCTAGGTTTGGTGAAAGCCATGTTTAAGAGCTGGGAGTTTAGAGGAAGGAGTCGAATACAATTTATTTTTATCATTACCCGTGGGGATTGGGGAAAATTTTGCAGGACAGGTGACTTAAGAAGTTGATGGTGCTATAAGACATCTAAAATCTAGGCTGATTTATATTTCCATTCTCTAGTGATTTATGTGTGCTCCCTAACATGCATCTTGCGCTATTTTTTTAGTGAACAAGAAAATCCGATCATGAAATGGACAAATAAAGGTCACATAATAACCTGAGACAAAATTTTAGCGCACTCTGCCATGGTAGACAATTCCCTTCTTTGCGATGCTGCGTCAAATCGAGTCAGCAATCTGTTCTCCAATTCTACATAAGCATGAACAATGAAACATAATTGATATGAAAGTTTAGAATTTACCAAGAAAAAATTACAGATGAGAAACTTTCAACAAGTAATCCACAAATGGGCTCTCACTTCCTTTATTTTTTACACATGGAGAAAAAATATTTTAATGGATTCATTTTAGTTTCTAATATGTCAATCATAATCCTCTGTGCTACTTCAAGTGAACCCCCAACTTACTTTGTGCGATCTATTGTATAGTGAAATCATAATAAACTGAACCAAGACACTCTAAAATGGAGGAACTGTATATCAAAAGGGCAAAAAACCAGAAAAGGAAGAAACGTCATGACGAAATGGGCATCCCAACTCCTACAAAGGATCTTTAGATCAAGGTCCCTCCAGTAGCAAACCCAATCAACTAATTCGGTGAATCATACTCATGTATAATCCACTTGGACTTCCGAACAAGATAACCATATATCTCTACAGCCCATAGAATCAGTTACGTCTCATTGGTGATTTGTAAAGGAAGTCCAAAGTGTAATCCTTAATGAATAACAGTTGAACCCAAAGGAGACAACTAGCCCATTGCCTAAAAGGGTAACTATCCTTCTGCAAATGAGATAGTTAACAATTTTGCTAAACTGAGCCACTACAAAACCACTAAACCAAAGTGACCAGCAGAGATTTGGAAGTCTAAGGCACCGATAAAGCTTTAAGTATTGAGTGATTGCAAGCACATAAAAAACTTAACACTAATGAAATGATCCAACAATGAAGTCCGACAAATTCTTTTCTCCCACAATGAAGTACCCTCTGTAAAAATGAGGGGGAATGTATGGGCCACTAGTTCTTCCATTGCTTATTTGTCTCAAATTTGGGAATAAACTTTTTGCAATTGTTGGCATCCCTTGATTGATTCCGCATTTATTATTGATTTAGAACATTTTCATTCAAGCAAATAAAGTTAAGACCTCATAGAGATGTGTGGTACAGGCATTGATTTGGGTTGTATGGCTGGACAAAACGTGCAAATTTTTTTATGATAGAGAGGCTCCTTGATTTTGGATGATAGAGAGGCTTAGGGGAATAGACTTTTGGCAATTGTTGGCATCCCTTGGCTGGACAAAACATGCAGATTTATGATAGAGAGGCTCCTATAGAAGACTCATGGGATGGGAATTTCATTCTTGGCAACCCTTTGGGATTTTCAAAGGACTTTGTGGGATTCTATTTTTCTTCATTCTTATTAAAATTATTATTATTACTAAAGATCATTGGGCACAAGTGGTTGGTGTGCCATGACCCACAACAACTTCCTTTTTGTTCCCTTTGTTTTCTTTCTTCTCTGTTTTCCAGGTTGTTGCTTTCACTGTTCGTTTTGTAACTATTAGAGGACTCCTTCTCCTCTCCAGTGCTCTCTTTCCATACTTCAATTGTGATATACCTTGGTTTGTTATCAAAAAGGGAAAAAAAAAAGAAGAAAAACTTCATCTTTCCTACATGGAAATAAACGAATAGTCCATCAACATCAACTTGAATTAGATAATTCTAAAAGAGAACAAAAGAAAAAAAGAATTAGATAATCCAATGCAATTAGCACATCACATAAGGTCACTACAACTACCATTAGTACCAAGAACATCAAATTAGAAATAAGTATACCATTGCAATATTCTTGTAGGTTAGCAACTGCAACTTCTAGTCCTCTGCTTGCAGTTGCATTGCCCACAACTGAAGATACAGTCATTCCTTGTCTTCCAACATCTTCCTCAGCAAATGACCCTAAAAAAGCACCAGAAAATGTTGTGATCATTCACAAAACTGCAAACAAGAATATTAGGACATTAAGGTAAAAAGCACATACACTCATGGACAGGTTGAGCATGCAAGAGATTCAGATAAGTGTAGAGCAACAGAGGTTTCCGGACAATACCCACGTACATCTATGAAATAGGTTTCTAGCGACAGTTCCAGCATTGCTGACATGTTACACAGTTTTATTAGACTGATATACAGTTTTATTAGACTGATATAGGAGAAGTGTGTAAAAATAGGTTAGACAACTTTAACAGGGTCCTATTAACTGATTATCACTAGTTTTGTAGTTAAAAGGTTAGTTCAGATTCTGGGCTCTAGGGTTGCGAAATATGTAAGAAGCAAGTAAGATGGTTTAATTAGGCAAGGATGGGCAAAGTTCCATTATGTTCTTGAGGGATTTGAAAAGTAATTTTGATATTTTTGTGTGTAATGGGCGAATGGTTGGAGGACAGATTAGGCTCATGCAAGAGCATTTTCAGAGAAGAACAAAGGTTAATCAGCTATGGGCTCTCAAAGGCGAGCCCTGGGGTGAGAAAAAGAAATTTCAGGAATCACTCTTAAATATCACAATTTCTGGGAAGGAAAAAAAACTTAGAATTGCAAGTAGTGCTGAGTATTATACAAGACTCTTCAGCAATCCTAAATTCAATTCTAACAAGAAAGCATCATAAATTCCTTAAATAAAGCTCAACAACCCAAAACTCGGTTATGCAAGATTCCAAGGCGACTCCACATTATTTCATATACTTCGAGTCAAAGCTTGAGCATTGGAAGCATCCTGACCTTGCTATGCTACGCCTTTGATATGCTCATAAATGGTGCTGCCATCTGTATCCAACTCTCCATCATACAGAGCATTCGTTTTTTCCAACAAAAAGTGGAATACAAAACCTCTAGCTTTATATTAAACAATCAATTTCCGTTTTTCCCTCGTGTCCTGGGATAAGAAATAAAAAAGATGCTGCAAAGTGTAGAAGTTGAGAGACCCATCCAAAGGAGGGAAATTAACGCCCACTACAAAAGCAGGATTACAGGTAGAATATCGCAAACCCGATGGATAATCAGACAAGGAGGATAAAATGCCCTCTGAAATAATATTGAGAAGCAGCTCAGTCACTTTATTAACCAATCCATGCATATGCTGGTTTACGTCAACACACAAAAATGAGGTAACTCCACATTCTCCCTGTAACATTGAGGATATTGGCCAACTTGCTATGAACAAATTACCATCTTTACCCTACTTATCAATATTGGTCAGTGGTCACAAACTAATCTCAAATTACTAAATCAAGATGAAGCATGATTTCAAACAACTAAAAAACTATGATTGCACTTACCAAAAAAAAAAAAACAAGGATGATTCTAGGATGACAGAACATAGTCAACACATAATTAAGAGTGAAGAATATGACCAAGAGGTAACTTTTGAACACTTGCAGCACTTTTTTCAACTGCAATAAACATCATTTATCAGAGTAAATGAAGGAATGTTTCCGTGCACTTAAGTAGCTAAAGGGAAACAGGACTCCACACATTACAGCCAAAAACCAGTAAGGTAGCGTTATGATGTTTACAATAGAAATAACAGGGAGAAAATGCCCTTCTACCGAATGAACCCTATGCATGTGTTCGCACGACATGAATAAATTATACCACACCACATTAAAAAATAGACCGAACAGGCCCTCAACAATTTGCTTACTACAATATTTATTGTAGTTGCTTCTTCACATAGCAGATTCAAACAGATCTTTAAAAATTCACCGAGTGTGCCCCACTGTATGTGCACATGTGGGTGACTATTTATTTTTTAATTATAGATGTGTGCGGAATAATTGATCTAGAACAAGCTGAATTGAGGAAGATGAACACAATTGAAGGATGGCCAGGCAGTTCAATTGAATGCCTCATTGAGTTCAGTTTTAGCCACCATTAATAAAAATATTTTACTTCATTTTTCTCCTATTAGTTTTTTAGTCATAAAACCCAAAAAAACACTGATGTTGTTCTTTTTCTTCCTTATTTTCATTTCATTAAGTATCCAACTTCACATGGCACATTCTGTCAAAACAGAAGCAAATGGAGAATAAAAAGAACAGCAGCAATCTTCAAGAAGCAAACTCATTGGCATGCAAGAATAACGTGTGCATGCAACAAGATTATCACTAATTAAGATAGCCCATAGTATTTAACTCAAATTCTGAAAATTTAGCAGCACAACACATTCAATAAAGTCTGTGAGTGTCTCGAAAGGGGAGGGGTTAAGGGGAATTACATTGGTCACAGCAACAGCTGCCATAGAAATTGTGTATTATAAAGGAAGATAGAACAGAAGAAGTAGGAACACTAGATTCACACAGCTTAACCCAGACATGAACTAAATTCAAAATAATTATGGTATGGAATGATGAGCAAATCTTTCGATATTCATTACTTTCCATTTCAATTAGGCACAACTGTAAGAAGTTATGAAGATATAAAATTGTTAAATGCTATAAAAAATAATTCGTCTTACGCAATTTCTGGGCAATTGAAGCAGCCTCTCCAACACGACTGTCATCAGAAAAGAGAGGTGAAAGTTCCATCAAGTCGCCCGGACTACTATTGAACTCCATCAAGTACTGCAATATCAATTCAAACAAATAACAGTGTTACAGCATTATAAGCAAAGGATGGCTCATCACCATGCTTATTTACTAAATAAACCTTTATGAGATCAATCGATTGGCTAGCAGTTTCTCGTTGGGCATCTGCACTCTGAGAAGAGAAAGTCACATAAGTTAAAACATAAGCCAAAAACATTACAAAAGATAAGCATTACACAAATTTTACCTGCAGATGATCTCCAATTTTGGCAGCAGTTTGTCCAACACTAGATATACGGGAATCCAATCGTGCAAAGCTATTAAACAAGCCATCTACACCTTTTTCCAGCTGAAAATTAAGACATGTGAATCCTTGCAGACAGTGCATCTTACTAATAACTAGGTACCAAATTTAGAATTATTAGAAAGTGCCAATATACTTTTAACGTTTTAGTAAGATGGTGTTTGATAAAACTAAAAACTGAATACTGAATTTTTTAATTCGCAGGCTGTTTAGTATTAACTGATATTTAAGTATTGAATTTAATCAAACTGTTTGACAAATATAAGGAGCTGAAGTCTGAAAATTATTATTATTATAATTTTGCCCTTCACTTTAACAATCTCTCTACAACTGTTTATTCTTATCACCACCATCACAACGGTGGTGGCGGCACAATAGTAGTGATGGCGATAGCAATGGTGATAGTGGTAGTGGCGGCAACACTGTGGTGATAGTAGTAGCGACACAATGATGGTGGCGGTGGCGGTGATGGCAATTGTAGTGGCAGTGGTGGTGATGGCAATGACAGTGATGGTGGTGGTGGTGGCAGCGACGGTAGAATAGTGGTGGTGGTGGCAGAATAATGGTGGTAGTGGCGGCGGTGGCGGCAATGGTGATGGTGGTAACGGTGGCACAATGATGGTTGTGGTGGTGGCGACGATGACTGAAGGCGACACAATGGTGGTGGTGGCGGCGGCGGCACAATGGTTGTGGTGGTGGCGGCGGCGGCACAATGGTTGTGGTAGTAGCGACGGTGATGGTGATAGCGACGGTGATGGTGGTAGCGGCAGTGATACAATGGTGGTGGTGGTGGTGCCAATGATACAATGGTGGTGTGGGTATATTTGTCCATTATGAGAAATTGATAAAATCGTTACCAACTAAAATTTTCAGCATTAAGTGATAAATAGGTGGCTTGCTACTTAAAATTTTAACCTATTTTAAAAAATTGCTTAAAATATTAAGTAGTATGAGTTTTAGGTTATCAAACGGGTTTAATTTATTAAGTGCTTAAAATATTAAGTTTTAAACCTAAAGTGGTGTTATCAAACAACCCCTAAGACAATGTAGAACCAATGGGATTATTTTCAAAAAAAGGCATAGATTGCCACAACCTAATGTCATGGACTCTTGACATATAATCATGGTTAATTGAGAATACATACCAAAAAAAGATAGTCAACAATTTATGTAAGGGATTTTTCTCCTGCAAAGTGATCTTTTAAATCATTAAAATGTGGAACCCAAACATCAGACTGTTTAAAAGAACTTGGCTCCTTTGTACAGGTTACAAGTTATTTTCAATATATATGGAGAAGGATATCACCAGAGGAAGAATGCACACGATATCACCAGAGGAAGAATACATGTGTGTCTGTGTGCACATGTACATATTCATGTGTGTATTGAGAAGCAACACATAAACCCTCCTTACTTACTAACCTCAGCTAGCGTCTTGCGGTGCTTAGAGTCTTCAATAGCTACCTCTTTCTTGAGATTGGTGAGTTTTCCATCAATCTTTAACCAGACATAAGAAAGTTATTCTTAGACGAAATGCCCTACAAGACGATCTAAATGAACCCACAAAGTAAAAACATACCTGTTTTCGAATATCAACCAACTGCTGACAAGAATTCTTGAACAAAGATAGTAGGGCATCCACTTCAGGAAATAAAGGGCTTGATAGCCCTTGTGCAGACTTCCCAGCATCTGATGGAATTCGCAAATTCCCATTTGCCAAAAGATCACCCCCAGTAATGTGACTGTGCCCTTCTAATGAATCTGTTTCTTGTTCTTGGTAAGATGGCAGAAGCTCATTTACTAAGTTACCAAATAACGCATCAAATGAAAAGTCTCCCTACGTAAGACAGAAATTAGTAATTAAGACAGGGAGCAGAACAGTAGCATACTTACAACTGGTAAAGATCATTTTCTTTTTCTTAGTCGGTGACAAGTGAAGATCTTAAACATACAACTCAAACATGAAATTGAGAGATTCTGAGCTTTACCTTAAAGTCATCTATGTCCAGAACTAGAGGATGAGAGTCTACAGATGAAGATCTTGAAATTCTATCAAACTTGATTCCATCTCTACCGTCTTTCATCTACGCTATGAGTAACAAAATAGAATAAATCATCCCCACTTCCAATAGGAAATCAACCAGATACAAAATAACCTTTCAGCTCGTCTATAATCAAACTTTTCATAGATATTTAACACTCCATCAATGCTACAGTAATATAGGTATAGTTAGTTTTTAAATCCTCATCACATCATTCCATTATTAAGTGATGTGTATAAGTAACTGCAAGTTTTCTTCCCGATTCCCAACCCAACATTTACTCTAAACTTTTTATTAATAACACCACAGAAAATAAAATGAAAATATATTGAATTTGGCCTTCTCAGATAGCTATTTTTACCCCGACAAAGGAGAGAGAGTTCACATTTCCAAAACACTATCACACAGATCGCACCATTTCCATTTAATATGCATTTAAATTTTGCATAAATCATGAAAATTGTGATGTCGTACTTCAAAAGGTGGAAGCTCATTCGCAAGTGACTTGTAAGATGTGAGAGATGCTCTAAGTAATAATGGGGAAGGCCGGAGACTTCGCTCAAATGGGGGGCCGTTTTCTCCTCAATAAAAATATGAAACGCTGCTTCTTGAATATTTTTGTAACTTGAGAACTCAATAAGAAATTGAAACTTGGGATTAGGTTCACGAACAAGAAGATCACAAATGAGTTATTGAGCTTCTTGCTTACTCTCTCGAATCGCTAACAACATTCAGTCATGAACTTCTTTGTGCTAGAAAAGTATATTCTTTGCCAGCCAATATGCAAAGAGAAAAGAGAGGAACGTGGATTTTTTTTTTTTTTTTTTTTTTTGAATAGAGGAACGTGGACGTTAGGTAGACAAATGTGTAGCTTCCCTTTCGCCATTTATCACAATTGGGCAAGTTTACAAACATGAAGATATCAAGGGTGTTGTCTTGTAGACAACAGGAAGAGGTTGTACCAAGTGCATAGCTTCCCCTTCTATGCAAGTAAAATTCCTTCATTCACTTGTTTTAGGACAACAAATCATGGGTTGCTTTTGTTTCATACAAAAATGAAGGAAAAAAGCAACCCACCTAGCAAAAAGTGTCCATGTCCTAGTTACATAACACTGGTTTTATTTTTGGCAAAATAAAAACTGTGAACCTTGGAATAAAAAGTATAGAAAAAATTAGTTCAAATTTGAACTAATAAGTTCCAAATTCCTTAACTCCTAATTTGATAAATCACTACAACTGTGTTATGGTACTTTTTTTTTTTTTAAAAAGGTGAAAGTTAGCAGTAGCAGCATGAAGTCATGAACCTTTAAGGGTGTGAGAAAAGTAGACGTTCTATGTAAACCAATATAAAGAGAGCAGAGACATGGATATAAATGTTAGGTATCAAGGGTGACTGGGCAAACAGAAGAGGTCGTTCCAAGTGCATTGACTGCCCCTCTATGGTAGTAAAACTCATACATTCACCAGTTTCAGAACATTGGAATTATTATTATTTTTGTTACCATTAAAAACAAAGGAAAACACAAATGGAACTGAAAATTGAGAACTTAGAATGGGAAATATAAAAAATCCATTCAAAATTTGAACTAAGTATCCCCAAAATTCATTTCATAGGCTTGAATTCCATGCCAGCAAATGTCTCATTTTAGCTTTTCTGTTCTGATTTCCTTCTTTTGTTCCCCGAATTTCCAACACCACCTTACGTACGGACTGATTATAATTACATACATACATCTTGTACTGGAGCATACGTGTGTCCGTGTAAATATGCATACATTTGAACCTCGTTCCTTTAACTGTGTCCTTAGTATCCAGAATGAAAACTGATCTAGAATACCCATACATATGCAATTGATCCAACAGAATACACCAAAATTTGTCACATATGCAGTACAAGTTTTGCAAACAACATGTATATAGATTGTAAGACTATAAATCGGATCTTGCACACAAGCCCACATGCGTCTACGTGTGTGAGAGAGAGAGAGAGATGCACCTCTAGAGTGATAAAACTTGACAGAGATATAGAATTTGGATCTATGACCTCTTGTTTTTCTTCGTCAAATATCTATCAACAATCGAGCAAGCCCGTGCCTCAAATGGGTGTTATACCGCAATTAAACAACTGCAATACGAAAGAGAATCAGAATCAAAATTGTTTTCTTCACGTCAAAATTTTCTCAGCAACCAAAAGTGGGTAAATTAAACGCAATGGCAGGCTTAAGTCCACTGCAGCGTCAAATCAAAACCATTTAAACCCTAAAACAAAAACCGAAGTTCCTAGAGACTTCCCAAATACATACAATTACTGAAAATTTCTTATAGTGCCCTTCCATAAGATATATGGTACAAATCCAAGGTTAAAACCGCCTACAATGACAAAACCACAACTGCAATCCAGGTTTCATAAACAACCATTTCCCGTCAAAATGTTTCAACAGTTCCATACACGAAAAACAAATTTATACATGACTAAGTAATAAGCATATATAGTGTACCTCAGGCTGAGAAGGAATAATGCGTCAAATCAAATCCATCACAACCCTAAGCCAAAAACAAATACCATATCATACATACATAAATTTTTAGAAATTCCTATAGCATAA